TTTTTAATTGATTGATTCTCTCGAAATCGGTACTAAAATTTCTTTAATTTTCGGGGATGGCTAATATTTGATTTTTTTAGTTTTGTCCATTCACGCGCGCGCGCATTTATGAACCGATTTGAATGAAATCGGTACTAATTTTTGAAAATTTTTATGAGAAATCTGCTATTAGATTTTTTTAAGTTTTACACCCACGCATCCACCCACGCGCGCGTGCATTTATGGACTGATTTGTACGAAATTGATATCAGATAACATAATAGTCATCCACAAAATAGTATTTATTTTAGTATAAATTTCGTAAAAGTCGAATAACAAATGTGGAAGTAGTTCGCGGTATTACAGAAAAAAGAATTAATTTTTTGTGTTAAAACAGATTTAATATAGGTTATATGAGGACCGCGCGAAGCGCGGTCCGAAAAGCTAGTTATATTATAATTATGTACCTAACAAATAAAATTGTACTGTGAGCATTGTCATATGCTTGTCATATCTAGAAAATATGTACTATAGCTTTCATTAATTTATTGTAATTTTTGCTACAGGCATTGAAAACTAAATATGGCCAAAAAATAATTTTATTAATAATATATGACGGCGTGGCCAGAAGACTTGGTCTACGTTGCGATGTAATAGTAGAAACAATGGACACCTATGAGGAATTTTCTCGAGAATATCAATACTTTTTTTATTGTTATAAAAATAATACATATAATTTACAACCTAATTTACCTACTAATTTACCTACTTTTCCTATGTATTGCATACTTTGGAAACCAAAATAGTAAGTACAAAATTAAATTTGGAATTATTCAAATCTTAAAAAGTAATTTTACTTTCATATTACACAGACACGTACATGTAAATAATTATTTTTTATTCAAAGTCTTACGGATAGATCAGAAAATAAAAGATATTTAGACATAATTTCTAAAAAATTCCCGTATTGTCTTGTCTACAAACGATTCGGAAGCTATGAGTTGTTGATTCATCCATCAGAAATTACATATCATAATTATGAGACGATATTTTCTTTCACGGTTGGTAATTACTTATATATGATTTCTATTGATTTTAACATTAATAAATATAATTATAATTTTGGCATAATTAAACATATGAATTAATAAAACTCATTTTATAGGCAGAAAAAATTGTATAATATGTCTTTTTTATTACAATCAAAACTGTTTTTAATCTTCTCTATTTGCTCATATATTTATTCTAATTTTTAGATACGAAAAGAAATAATGATGGGAGCTGTGGATTTGATATACAACTTTAACAACAGTTTCCAGATTAATAAGCGTAAATCTGCTCCCTATTTGAAATATATAATTGTATGTGAGCTATACATGCAGCATATTATCAGATATAATAATGATAAAAATACCTCTATGAGTTTGCTTTTTGATGTACAACTATACAGCTATATATGAATTATAATTATCTATAATTTAATTAATTTTAATATAATTTGCTATAAGAGTCTATTTAAAACTTAAAAGACAAGAAAGATAAATTGAAGTTTAATCAAACATTTTTCAGCCCCAAATTTCCACTGAAAAAAGAGTGTTTATTACAAGATCAGACGATGTAAAATTTGCAATAGGAATGATCGTAACACATCATAATATGTGTGAAGATAATTGTACTGGAGTTATTATTGGATGGGAACAACATACAAACACATATGTTAAATTCAACGAAGAAACGTGTTATGATGAATATATACAGAATTAGATATCTTGCCACTGAATCACTGTTACAATCAACAGTTTAGAGATTCCGAACAAACCAATTACATTATTCTTACCGATAATAATAAAATCTGTTATGTCAATGAAGGTATGATAATCATTAGTGCATTTTTATATTTAAAATTATAATTCTTTATTCTACGATAATCATTCTTTTTTTTGTACGCAATGTAAAATAATAGTTTATTTTATTTTGTTTCTTTTTTATAATTTAGTTATTTTGTTTATTTCAATTGTGATATATTTAATTTATTATTTAGTTTATTTACTTATCATATATTTGTTTTTTAATAGTATATTTTTTATTTTAGATTCTATAACTTTAACAACGCCGAAATGGATCGATAATAGCGAAATAGGTCGTTATTTTTGCAAATTCGAACACACGCATTACATACCAAATGAAGAGCTGGCAAGAATCTATCCGCAGGACGCTGCTATAGCAGCCCAGAGAACAATATCTGTAAATTAATAATATAAATCAAGAGACACGGTAGTGTCTCGCGACCAGTTAAGGGCGTAGCCGAGACACCGTGTATCTTAACGCGAGTCGGACATTTGAGTCTTTATAATATTTCGAATTCTCAATAACGGCTGAAGCAATCGAGTTTATACTAGACTTAATCGATAGATTGAGTTTGAATTATATAATAAAAGTGTCTTTATTTCTGCTCTACGTGATTTGTAAGCAGAGATATAATTGCAAAGTCGAAATATGAAAAATTTCTTTTAAGAAACGTCTCCGTCATCATTATTATCATTATCGACCACGCAAACATAGTAGTATCGTGCTACACGTATTCACACGTATACAACACATGCGCACACATATATCACACGTACACAACACATGAATAGATGCATGTTTTGGAAATGTCCATCTCGCACGTTTCAAGAGACACGGTAGTGTCTCGCGACCAGTTAAGGGCGTAGCGGAGACACCGTGTATCTTAACGCGAGTCGGACATTTGAGTCTTTATAATATTTCGAATCCTCAATAATGGCTGAAGCAATCGAGTTTATACTAGACTTAATCGATAGATTGAGTTCGAATTATATAATAAAAGTGTCTTTATTTCTGCTCTACGTGATTTGTAAGCAGAGATATATAAATGCAAAGTCGAAATATGAAAAATTTCTATTAAGAAACGTCCCCGTCATCATTATCATCATTATCATCATTATTATCATCATTATCATCATCGACCACGCATACATAGTAGTATCGTGCTACACGTATTCACACGTATACAACACATGCGCACACATATATCACACGTACACAACACATGCAAGATGCATGTAGTGGTAATTTTGTCCATCTCGCACGTTTTACAACAGATGGCGATAGTGGCGCTCCGCCATATCGGCAGCGTGCGGGGTTATGTTGGCTAACTCTCTCTCTCTCTCTCTCTCTCTCTCTCTCTCTCTCTCTCTCTCTCTCTCTCTCTCTCTCTCTCTCTCTCTCTCTCTCTCTCTCTCTCTCTCTCTCTCTCTCTCTCTCTTCTCACACACACACGCACACACACACACACTCTCTCATTCTCACTCACTCACTCACTGTTCGTCTTGTGTACTTATTTAGTACATTCATGATCGGCAGCGTGCGGGGTTATGTTGGCTAACTCTCTCTCTCTCTCTCTCTCTCTCTCTCTCTCTCTCTCTCTCTCTCTCTCTCTCTCTCTTTCTCACACACACACGCACACACACACTCTCTCTCATTCTCACTCACTCACTCACTGTTCGTCTTGTGTACTTATTTAGTACATTCATGATTAAACATCTATATGCATTAATGTGAAATTTACTTACAATTAGTTTACTTGAAATATTCAATCTCTAAAGTGTTTATCTTATAAGATAGACAAAAAAATCTGAGTAAATAATAAGAAAAAAAACAAGGATTATTATTGTCATAATTTTTTATCAATTAAGTACTCTCAACTATCCAATAATTAAATAAATACGTACAAATGTGCGCGCGTGTACACACATACACATATTGATATTAAAGAGATTGAAGGAGAGGAAGGAGAAGATAAAAATTTAAATATTCACATATATTTTCAAATATTATATATGAATTTATAGTTTACATATCTAATTAATAATGAATTTCTAATTATATTAAACATATCAAAATAAAGACATACATGTATTTATCAAATGAATAAAATTATTGAATACAGACTTAAAAATTTATTAAACATAGACTTAAAAAATTAATTAATTAAACATATTCCAAATTTAGAAAAAATAAACTTTATTTATATATGCAACAGCTTTTTAAACTAAATTTTGAAATTCTATTTTATATTAGACAATTATCTCAATCAACATCTACGTCCACATTAGCTGCACTGCAGACTACCTCTACAGCCACATTATCTGCTCCGCGGATATAGCGTTATGCCAATACGATACATTACATGTACTTACTTACTTGCCTTTACTGTACCAACTCTTGTTCTTTCCACGTAATCATGTTTTTACAGTTATCGTTTGCTGTATATCTTCCAGCAAACTTTATTTCGTGTGAAGTGTATTTAATTAATTAAATCTCTGCGAAAGATTGAGAAGATGAAGGGATAATTCAAACTATGAAGACATGGTTACATGGAAAAGACAAGAGTTGATACAATAATAAAGACATACATGTATTTGTATCCTGCTGGCATAAGGTTATAGAAGTTGATTGAGATTGAAAAATAATAATGAAAATAATAAAAAAAATAAAGACACATGTATTTGTATCGTGCTGGCATAAAGTTATAAAAGTTGATTGAGATTGAAAAATAATAATAAAAATAATTAAAAAAAGAAATATTCAATCATCATTTAAAAGCATATTTGAAATCTGTAGAATAAACAGTTTTTGCAAAAAATGTGGAGCATTTGAGCTCTAGTAAGTCTAAAAATAAATGTAAACATCAATTAATAATAACTGATGTTATATATATATTATATATATAAACCAATTTGTTGCAATATTCACTATAAAAGGTTGTAAGGGTAAGATGGCTAAAAGTGAATAATTTAAAAGATAGTTAACATAATTTTACATAAACTGAAATATTTCATAAAATAAAATATTTGTAATATTTCGAAGTTTATGTAAGATTATGTAAAAATTATACCTTTACAACTTTTTATAGTAAATATTGCGAGGAATCGATTTATATGAGAAAAATTAAGGTAATTCTATTTTGAAAATATAAGTGACCTTTAAATAACCTTGAAAATCGCCGTTTAGGAAAAAGTCTGTGTCAACTTTTTCTTTTTCGAAATCCTGCAACTTTTATCTAAATTTAATAGAAAATGTATAAAAAATGCTCGACATTAGTACACACACACACACACACACATATGGGTAAATTTATATAAATAGGGTGCTTTAGGAGGAATGATCAGGATTCTAGGATATGATTGTACACATCATTTTAAGCAAAGAAGTTTAGATAAACATGTTTAATAATTGTTCTATTCCGGTCATAAAAATATACAAAAATGAATGATATAATCTCTAAAAACTCACCTTTAAAAAAAGGTAAAAAAGGCGACCAGTTAAGGGCACGCCATTAACAAAAATTATCCATTGCAAACCCATGTAGAATCCTATGAAAAATTAATCATTGCAAACCCATGTAGAATCCTAGGCAAAATTAACCATTGCAAACCCATGTAGAATCGTACCCATTGCAAACCTATGTAGAATCCTATGAAAAATTAACCATTGCAAACTCATGTAGAATCCTATGAAAAATTAACCATTGCAAACCCATGTAGAATTGTATTAAAAATTATCCATTGCAAACTTATGTAGAATCCTACATTGCAAACCCATGTACAATAGAATTGTATGAAAAATTATCGATTATAAACCCATGTACAATCGTAACAAAAGTAATGAAATAAAAAAAAAATTGCGCCAAGTGAAAGTAGAAACTTGTACCAGTGGAAAATTAAAGTTGCAGACATATATAGAGTCGTATAATGAATCAGTAAAAATTTAAATTTGCAAATGTAGAATCGTACCATAAAAAAACTTATCTTTTAAAAAAAAAGATAAACAAGATGCCAAGTCCATGCGCCATGTGAAAAAAAAATAAAAAAATTTTAGTTAAAAAAACTGGGAGCGCTGCTAAATAATATTCTAACAATATTAAAATTAAATTGTTACTTTTAAACTCATTACAGTTAAAATATGTTTTGTGTTTAAATTAATTAATGTTACTTTAAGGTGCATTGTAATTTTGAAACTTAGCAGCGCGCCCAGTTTTTTTAACTAAAATTTTTTTATTTCTTTTTCACATGGCGCATGGACTTGGCATCTTGTTTATCTTTTTTTTTAATAATCTCATATTTGAGATTTAATTTCAATACCCCCTTTCATATTTTAAAAATCTTGGCCGTGTCCAAGTAAAATTTGGTGCCTTGTGCACCGGTATTTAATTCTAACGGAAAATTATTTAGTTTCGTTAGGATAAAGCATTGTCATCCGCGATTTGGCTCTTGTTGCCCGTCTTATACGTTAAATTTATATTTATATTACAGAGCCTTGTTAAAACTCTTATATTAGTAAAGAAATATTTTTTAACGCAATTTGTATAAAATTAAATATTTCTTTTAAACATTTTTTTTACGAAACTTTCTATATTTCCCGATTCAATAGTATAGCTGACATTACATCGTTTGCATAAATTGTTTTATAAATGTATACGCAATGTAGGCTATTAACACTGCAAAAAAAAGTATACACGGCCTGCTGCGCTGTGGGATATTTTGCGAATCATCAATGGATATTTAAAAATAACAATGGTATAGATTTATTCGATTCAGTTCTACCCGAAGACAAAGAAGCATTCTCATGTGATATTTTAAATATTGATGTTAAAGAATTTTACAGGTAAATATTTTTTATTTTAACTTTTTAAGCAATGTTTACATCGAAGATGATGTTAAGTCATTAGATATTTATTTTACGAAATAAAGGGCCAGTTTAATTGGAGCTAAAAAATATCTCTTTCACGAGGACATGAATCGCTTAGATGTAGCCAAAGCGTATCGCAGAAGGTGAGTGTAAAGAATGTATTTTATAAAAATATTACTATCGTTTATGAGATGCAAGACAAATTAAAATTAATTATTCAATGACAATAATAAAGATTTGAAGATTGCGATTGTTATCGTATTAAATAAAAATATAATAGCGCTTCGAATCTTATTTAAAAAAAGAAATTTAATTTTAAATACTTTTTAAATTTGATTTTAAATAATACATATAGATTGTACTATATATATAGTTATTAATATTACATATAATAATAGAATTTTAAATAATAGGGGGAGAGAAAATTTTCAAAAAATTAAAAGATTATTAATAATAATTTATTATTAATAAAGAATTTATATGCATATAAAATAAAAATATAATTAAAATAATTTGTTGTTGGATAAATATTATGAAAAATTAAAAAAAATAATGTGTTTATTTTACAAATATTTTAGATTAGATTTGTTTGCTACGGCATTTAAAACTATCATTGTTATTGGAATAATATGGATGATATATAAGTGAACCGACACTGATTGTTAAATATTCTCAGATCGCAAACTGATCAACATCGTCACAAACAACTATAGTGTAATATATAATACTTGATGTATAATATGAAATAAATTAAACTTGGCAAAATTGATTTCGACGTAACTAGCAATTTTATTCAATACTCTCACGACGTTGACGAAACATCATAGCGATGGGACGTGTTCCTCTTTTAACTATTAATTTTAAATAAGATCGGTTTTATGTTGCGTTAATCTCATTCTAATTGATGGAATTCTCACTTGATAAGGACCACAACCAAATGGTCGAAACGTCGTGAAAGTATTTTCACCACTAGCGTCCAATATTAATTTTGATTGATGAAATAATTTATTATAATAAATAAAGAGAAATGCAGAAGATGGAAAAAGATTTGTAATTACACATGTTGATATTACAACATGCATTCATCTATGAAACTAATTACGTAACTCACATGATATATATATATATATACTAGCTTTTCGGATCGCGCTTCGCGCCGGTCCTCAAAACCTTTCTTCAATTTCTGTAGATATATTAAATGTATTTATCAATGTATTATATACTTTTAATTTCAAATCCATTTGCTTTATTTATTATAACATTTTCTATTTCCTTTGTTCCTATTTCCTATTTTTATAACATATTCTATTCCCTAAATATTATTTTCTTCGATAATTGTATTTTCAAATTGATTTATATTTATTTGATCATCTTTAAGTACCGAAATTTTTTAATTAAAAATATATTAGGTTATATATTATATATGATAATATAATATAAATAAAACGATTAACAAATTTATAAATAAAAAATATTATTTTATTTAAATAAATAAATTGTTTATATTTACCATTTTGAAATTCTTCAATTTCTTTTTTATTTCTTTTGGTATATTATTTTTTTCTATAATTGTATTTTTAAATTGATTTATATTTGTTTAATCAATGATGACATTTAATATATGAAACGAGCTACTTATATATATAGATAGTCATTTATAAAATAACATGTTAAAAGAACTCATATCATCATCTAAGGGGTGATTTTTATAAAAACTCACTAAAAGTAATTTAAAAAATTTTACGATTGAAAAGAAACAATATATTAATAAATGCTCTTATCTAATAATGTCATTTAACAATCACGCCACTACCAAAAGATGATTTTATTAAAAATATAAATATGTTTCTTTTTCATATCTACAGTGGATAGATGCGTGGGTGGGTTAATGGGAGTGTAGAACAAAAAAACCAAATTCTCGCCATCCCCAAAAAATTACAACATTTTGATACCAATTTAATGAAAATAGGTCCATTCTCATAAAATTTTGGTCCCGATTTCGTGCAAATCAATCCATAAATACGCGTGCGCATGGGTAGATGCATGAGTGAGTGTAAAATTTAATTAAAGAAAATAGCAGACTTCTCAAAAAAATTTAATACTACCTAATTAATAATTTCTAGGGAATTGATCCATTCATGTGAAAGTGCGTGGGTGGCGCGTGGGTGGGTAAGTAAAGGTATAAAAAAAATCATTAAACTTAAAAAAATCTTTTTTTTGCAATATTTCTGAACACATTGGCGTAGAAATTTGAAAAAAAAAAATATTTTTCGCAAAAATTTTATCTATTTCTATATCGTTTCTTGGCAGAATAATTTTATTATTCAACTATAATTTTTTATTTTAATTGTGACACTGTAGCCAGCCTTTTACTGGATCAAATGCTGTAGAAATGACTAAAGAAAGAAAAATCCTATATAATTCATCATTATTTTATCTATTTTTATATCGTTTCCTCCTCTAAGAAAAAAATAAAAATTCAAAAATTTAAAAAAAAAACCCACAGCAGCCACCCTCAAAAAATTTGCAACATTTTGGTACCAGTTTCACGAAAATCGGTCTATAAATGCGGAAGTAGTTCGCGTACATACAGACAGACGGACGGTACTTATATATATAGATATATATTTATACACACACATACATATATATATATATATATATATATATATATATATATATATAAAACATGATATATATAAACACATGAATATGGAAGAACTTGCTCCTTTGAACTTCTTTGGCATATCATTACCATTAAATCATTCTTATGTCATTTCCTGTTCACAAAATTCATTGTGCTCATTCACGTTTCCATCTTTTATCGAAGACGAAGTACTTCGACTCTCGTTTCAAATTCAATCGTTTGGCTTATGTTTAAAATAATTTTACTTTATATGTTTTTCTTGATTTTAAAAATTAACATTTAAATCAAATCTTGCTATTTTTGTTACAGTTTTATAACTAAACACATTATCTTTTTATACTTTATTCGTCTTATCGGAAGTAGTTGCATTTATAGACATGAACAAAGGTGCAGCAAATACGTTTATACCTGCATTTTATGCAGGTCGTAGCATTTTAATTTCGGGCGGTACAGGATTTATAGGCAAAGCGCTATGTGAAAAGTTACTGCGATCTTGTGCCGATGTTGGTGAAATTTTTGTTTTGATCAGACCGAAGAAGGGACTGAACATAAACGAAAGACTGAAAAAAATGTTGGATAACAAGGTAAAGTTATAAAAAATAAAAATGTATATATGTTTTTGAGCAACGGTTAAATAATCTATAAAAAAATTGTTATAACTTGTAAATGCGACAAAATTTAAAATTTTATTCAAAAGTTTATAAAAACTACATATATAATTCCTAATGAGCAGTTTATAATCTTTAAAGAGCAGCTTTCAAAAATTGTTGAAAATACATTTTTATAAAAAGAGAGTGATAAAGAAGACCATCTTCCTTTCTTATTTAAAAAGAATTATTTTATTATAATTTTTCGCTTTAAAAAATTCTCTTTCTCCTAACGAAGAAATCCTCTTGGGATGAAATATAAATAAAATGATTGAAATCGTAAAATCAAAATTTCAATATAGAATATATTACTAATTATTGACGATTGTTTTAGCTTTTTGACGTTTTGCGAAGTGAGCGACCATCTGCTTTTAATAAATTAATTGCAATTCACGGTGATGTAAGTCTTGAGGGCTTAGGATTGCAACCGATCGATAGAGAAATGTTGATCGAAAGAGTGTCTATAATTTTTCATGTCGCGGCTTCTGTTCGATTTGATGAAAGTTTACGTGAAGCTGTTTTCAACAACACTAGGTCAACGCGGGATATTTGCATTTTAGCAGAAAAAATGAAAAAACTTGTAGTATATATATTTTTTACCTATCAATTTTTAAGATCAAAATTGTTGCAGTATTTATACAAATAAGTGAAATATATGAGATTAAATTAATTTCACTTAAATATAATTTCGAGTAATAAAATCTTTCATGTGTTATCATGTGTTATCAAAAATAAATTTCATAATTTATATATGTATTTTTCTTGTATAATATTTAATTTGTGCGTAAATGATTCAAGGTTTTCCTACACGTCAGTTCTACGTATACGCAAACAGACAAGCCAGTGGTTGATGAGACACTTTATCCATCAGATTTGGATTGGAGAGAAGTGATTAAAGTCGCCGAACATTTTGACGAGCATATTTTGAAAACGTTTACAGCAAAGTAAGTTAATGAACACCGCATAGCGTCCTTTTTGTCTCTTAAAATACGTTCACGTTCACTTTTAGATATCTGGGAACGATGCCAAACACGTATACTTTCACAAAAAGATTGGCGGAGCAAGTTGTAAGCGACTATTCAAAGTCATTGCCTTGCGTCATCGTTCGTCCATCCATAGGCACGTAACACTTTCACGATGGTTTTGGAATCAAAATTAGAATTTGAATTTTTCAAAGAAATCTGTTTAAAAGAGTATACAAAGCAGATGATTGTAATATTTAGGTGTCACAATTAAAATAAAAAATTATTCTGCCAAGAAACGATATAAAAATAGATAAAATAATGATGGATCATATAGGATTTTTTCTTTCTTTAGTCATTTCTACAGCATTTGATCCAGTAAAAGGCTGGCTACAGTGTCACAATTAAAATAAAAAATTATATGGTCGAGAGGAATCAAGTGGAGATTGTGGTTTTAAAAAATTATAGTTGAATAATAAAATTATTCTGCCAAGAAACGATATAAAAATAGATAAAATAATGATGGTTTATATAGGATTTTTTTTTCTTTAGTTATCTCTACAGCGTTTGATCCAGTAAAAGGCTCGCTAGATAATTTTAACGGTCCTGTTGGAATGTTGGTTGGCGGGGGCAAAGGTATTCTTCGTGTTGTGTTTATCGATCCTATCGTTACATCGGATTTTATGCCTGTTGACGTGGCCATTAAGACAATGTTAATAGTGGCGTGGAAACGTGGAATCAAAACGTATGCATATATGTGCTTTACACATAATAAAATCGTCTATCAATCTTGTTATTTTCTAAAGCTCTAAGCAAATATACAGAGGTCAGACAAAATAATGTGAACATCTGTGAAAAAAACACTACATTTGTTTATTAATAAGATGTTGAACCACAATTTGTCTTTAATACAGCTTCAATTTTTCTTAATAATTTAATATCATCAGAATAATCTAATATCATCAGACTGTAGGCAATTTTGAAAAAGAGAAACTTTAAAGGCAGATAAAAGAATGGAACAACATTTTAATAGAGACTATTCAAATAAAATATGTTCTCTTCCAAGAATTCCAAGAATTAATGGCAAATGGTAGACAACATCTTATTAATAAACAAATATTTTTCACAGGTGTTTACATTATTTTGTCTATATCTATCACACTGATATTACATTAGTGACATTATTTTTTTATTCAGCTTCACCGAAGACAATACGATTCATGTTTATAACTGTTCGGGACATGATGTAAAAGGGATAAACATAAAGCATCTGATTGAACTGGGATTTAAACTCGCTGAAGAAGTACCTTTGGAAAACATTATTTGGTCCCCAGGCATAACTACAACTAATAGCCGTTTGTTTTACTATTTAGTTGTACTTATTATGCATATCTTGCCTGCACTTTTCATAGACTCAATCCTAAAATTATTCCGTGCACGTCCCATGTAAGCTTTATTTTATAGATTAGGAAAAGTTTATGAACATTGTATATACATATATATCTTATTTATTTATTTTATAACAAGAAGTGAAATCTTTAAGTATATGTAAATGTAAAAAAAAAATATTTAGCAAAGTGCTCTTTTCTTTTAGGCTATTAAAATTGCAGAGGAAGGTCTATTGCGCAAACAGTGCTCTAGCGTTTTTTTTGACACATGAATGGCAATTTACGAATAGGAAATTACAACATTTCTTCGATGATCTGTCACCCGAGAATAATAAAGACTTCGGATTTGACTACAGAAATTTCAATATAGTGCATTACTTTCGAAACAGCGTAATCGGTGCAAAAATTTACTTACTGAATGAGGATATGAATCACCTGAATGCAGCGAAACTGCATCGAAAGAGGTAACATGCACTTAATGAAATGGAGAACGGATTTCGGTCGCAGAACTGCATATTTTCCTTTCGCTCATTTCGGGCTTGCTTGGTCTTAAAAAAATATCTGTCTTTAACAAATGATCGATTTTATCGACGATGGTATGCATATCTCGTTGCAAAACTCGCGTCACAGATACATATGTACGTACTTAGAAACACACGAAAAGATATCATTATATCATTTTTGCGAGATCGAAAGATATATAATTTTACACAGCCTCTATTGTGATTCTAAAAATTAATCAGAGAACAAAACAGAGAGAGAGAGAGAGAGAGAGAGAGATAAAAAATCGGAGATAACGTTAACGCGGAAACGCGACGTCGCGAAGTTACCTGTACGATTGTTTGGTCGATCGATTGAAGTCCTATAGTTTGAAAATTAGGTCGGCAACGTAGGAACGCGCAGTGAAAATTTTGATCCATTAAATTTTATATAAAATTGCACAAACAAATTGTTTATTTTTTCGAGCACTATAATAGTAAAACTAAGCTATCTCAAATATAAATTCAATTAGCCGAGTTATTCTGAAAGAGATTTTAATGATTTGATATAAATATATGGTCCAAAATAATAATTTAATTCTCTTTTATGATTGTAGGATGCTATGGCTCGATAGAATTGTGAAAATATTGGTCGGCACTCTCATTATGTGGATAATATATGATAAATATTAATGTGTATTAATTGTTTTATAAAAAAAATTTGATTTAACAATTGCGGTTGCACCAAATATATAATCTAGATTGTTATTAAGTTTAGATAATTACTGTATAAACATTAATAAACTAATTATAATAATACAAATTTATATCAATTTTTTATCGAGTATTTTATTGTTGAGAAAAAGAAGGAATATACCTTCTTATTCATGAAGAATGTCAAGGTTTAAGAAATAAATTTTATTTGGACAACACAAGTTAATTTGTGTTGTCTAGTGTAAAATAAAAAAAATTGTAATATAACGTTAAAAAAACTGTAGAATAAACTGCAAAAAAGCATGTCATTATACTACTGGATCAAGCATACATTAAATTATTATTAGACTGCATTATGTAAGTTTGCTTTTTCACCCTTGGTTTAAATAGTTTCCGTTTTATTAATGTCTAGATGCACATCTATTTAACAAAACGTTATATAGCAAATGATAATCTAGCATATGATTTTAATTGAGTAGCGTACGTCGTTGAAGTTTGAGCTCAGTTTGTCATCTAATTAAACTCCTGCTGTGAAAAAATCAATATAAAAGAGATCATTAAATTTCCGAGTGCACTTGTATTTATTTTTGGCAGTTACGTTGTTATTATATTATTTATATTGATTTTGTTTTAATAACGATGGATGAGAATATAAATAATCCAATCAAGTCAATTACATCGTTTTACGCTGGACAAAGTATATTTTTAACAGGTGCGACAGGATTTATGGGTAAAGTATGCATGGAGAAGATACTGCGATCTTGCCCAGATGTTCGCGAAGTGTTTATATTGATGCGCCCAAAAAAAGAACAAAGCATTAACGAAAGGCTCGAACAAATATTGAAATTACCGGTAAGTCAATTACAGAAGTATAGATACTTTTTTGAATTTTTTAAGAATTATTCTAACGATTAAATGAAAATGTTCTTTTGAGAGTGTTATCATATGACGCTTCTTATTTTTACAAAAAATTAATTTTACAATTTGATAAAAGTGATAAATTTAATTAAAAAACGTATAAGTAATAGTAGAGAGAACATTTGAAAACGTAAGATATAGTGTAAAAGTAACAAAAATATTCTACAATTTTTTTGCAAAATTATTGAAGATATAAGAATCATGGCAATTGTAATATAAGTACGTTATATAACATGTATTTTTATTTCAGTTATTCGATAAACTGCGAAAAGAGCAACCTTCAAATTTAAAAAAAATAATTCCACTTTTTGGTGATGTTAGTAAAGAGAACTTGGGTCTGTCGGCTGCCGATAGAGAAATGTTAGTTGAAAGAGTGACTATAATAATTCATGCAGCAGCGAGTGTGAGATTTAATGACAGCTTAAAGTATGCTATTTTTATAAATACTAGATCGACAAGAGATATCTGTATCTTAGCTCAAGATATGAAAAATCTTCTAGTAAGTATAAATGTGACAAATGGCGTATTTAGTGTTTTTTTAAGTATCTATTAATATATAAATTATTTAATGTGTTTTATATAATAATTAATATTACAAACTATTGTTATTATAGTATAAAAATTTTGTCGAACAATAATTTTATTTTTTTTTTACGTAAAAAGAATTACAGTTAAACACTTAACAACAAAAATAAATATGATTTCCTTTCAATTGCAATTAAGTTCATTTAAGTCTTTATTATTTAAAAAAAATGTAACTTTACTATTAAAACGTATTTATTTATTAAAGGCACTAGTTTATGTTAGTACAGCATACGCGCATATAAATAATTCTGTCATAGAAGAAAAAATATACCCACCAGTAGCCGATTGGCGGAAAATGATCAAAGCAGCCGAGTCATTGGATGAGCATATTTTAAATGTCTTTACAGCTAAGTATGACAAACTATATGTATATAAAATCAATATAACATTTATAAATTTCAAATAATTTTTATTTATATATTATTATATTTATTGTTATTATTTTATTAATAATTTATACTGTGATACACGTTTTTTATAATAATTTAATACTTTTAATATATGCATAAAACCGCGTAAGTGCATATGTCAAACAAAAAAGTATTTTTATGTAAAAAAATCTATCAATTGACATAAATTTATGTTCTAAAATTAATATCTTTACAAAAAGTAATGTCCAATTATTGCGCGAATAAATAAACATTTTTATAAAAAAATTAAAATTTAAAAACTTATGCAAATTTAAAATTAATATAAAATAAAAAGAAATAAAAAAATTTTAGTTAAAAAAACTGGGCGCGCTGCAATGAGTTTAAAAGTAACAATTTAATTTTAATATCATTAGAATATTATTTAGCAGCGCGCCCAGTTTTTTTAACTAAAATTTTTTTATTTCTTTTTATTTTATATTAATTTTAAATTTGCATAAGTTTTTAAATTTTAATTTTTTATAAAAATGTTTATTTATTCGCGCAATAATTGGACATTACTTTTTGTAGAGATATTAATTTTAGAACATAAATTTTTGTCAATTGATAGATTTTTTTACTTAAAAATACTTTTTTGTTTAACACTTTTTCACATGGCGCATGGACTTGGCATCTTGTTTATCTTTTTTTTAAAAGATAAGTTTTTTTATGGTACAATTCTACATTTGCAAATTTAAATTTTTATTGATTCATTATACGACTCTATATATGTCTGCAACTTTAATTTTTCACTGGTACAAGTTTCTACTTTCACTTGGCGCAATTTTTTTTTTATTTCATTACTTTTGTTACGATTGTACATGGGTTTATAATCGATAATTTTTCATACAATTCTATTGTACATGGGTTTGCAATGGATAATTTTTGTTAATGGCGTGCCCTTAACTGGTCGCCTTTTTTTACCTTTTTTAAAGGTGAGTTTTTAGAGATTATATCATTCATTTTTGTATATGATAAGCATCTTTAAATAAATAAGCAAATTCAATTTTTCTGGCATTTTCTTATTTTAGGTACATATATATCCAATAATTAATATACAAAATTAAATATTATTCATCACACAATTTGTATCAAAATAATATATTTTTAAAAATTTATTTTAAATTTATTTAATCATTTTTATCATTGTGATTGTAGTGGCAAGGATTTTATTGCTCAGTGTCATTGCAAGCATCTGGCCTGTATATACCATAATATATTGTAACAATAAAATATTAAATTTCGTTCGCCAGGAATGAAATACTAAGGTAGTAGATATTAAACTGACTACACTGGCTGTCTATTCGATTTGTTAAACTATATTTATTGACGTTTCGACCATACGGGTTGTGGTCCTTTTCAAAATTACAATAGAAGCATTCTAGAAATTAATGTACATGCAATCAGAATCAACATTTAAATTGAAAACGTGAAATGTAACAAATGAGACTTACAATGAGTTACTGCATATCGTTATTGACATTTAAAAGTACGCTCCGGTGAGACTTAACTTAAGATCGGATGGTAAATTAACTGCGTTTCACTTGTGTCATCTTGCTACGACTGAGCACACTGTACTAACGAATAAACACGCCGAAAATTATGTCAAAGTTAAAAGTTAACAATATTTACATTCTCGCTAAATTGTGATGTACCATATGGCAAATTACTAAAATAAAATATAAAAAATGAAAAATAAAATATAAAAAGTATAAGATAATAAAAAGACAAATAAATAAATAAATAAATATATTCGGTTCGCTTATGTCATCCTGCCTTAACATACCAATAATAAACTACTAATAATAGCTCCCAACAATGATCGTTATGATATACAATAAATAAATATATATTTATATTTATATTATATATATATATATATATATATAAAATGTTGGATTTTTATTATATATATATAATTTTAAAAAATCTTTTTTATATGCTATTGAATTTTAATACATACAATTTTGATTATATGTATTTTAATTGATTATATTTATAAGTATTTTTATATTATCTTAAAAAGACTGCATAGAATTATTTGTGCGACACTCTTATATGTATGTATAATTAATAGGGACCAACTACACATTTTTTTTCCACTGAATAAAAACAATCTCAATATTAAAATTAAATTATAAAAAAGATACTGTGATATTTTATTGCGATGAGAAATGTACATTTATAATTGTATTAAATACAAAAATAAACATGCCATGAATTACTATATATACATATTTTCATAATTATCAAACTTAAAAATATAATATTGTTACCAAAGAAGAAAGCACTATTTAAAAACTCTAAAAGTTCATAATTTGTTAAATTAGTAATTAAATACTGCATTTTGTATAATTTTTAAGCTTTATTCTTTTATTTTTCTTTATTTAATTGAATAGATATTAACATCCAATGTAGCATACAGATTAAATTAACAACCAAAAAAATAAATCTTAACTTTGAAATATATTTTTGTTTCTTTTAAATATCAATCAACTGGATTGTGTACTACTATTAATATGAATTCTTTATCTGGTGCCATCATAATTTTATGTTTTTTGCTACGTATGCGCAAGAAAGTTAAATCATTTGTTGGATTCAAGTCACGTACGACAGAACGAGCTTTATCTGACAATTGACTTATCAAACCTGCGTATTGAACTGTTGTCGTATTATCTAATGTTGACTTTATAGGAATACCTAAAACAAATATAATTTTATAAATTTTTGTTTACAACTACAAGTAAATCATGTCAATGATCTCATGTAATACCTTCTGCATTCACCACTATTGTTCCAACTACCCTTTTATGAGACTGAATTTGTTTCATAGTTTCTTCAACCTCTTATAAATTATTTCATCGAAATTTATTAATAAAATTTTTATTTTAAATATTCCAATAACGGAAGCAAATCATATGGAATAAATGCGTTCTTTAATTGTAGGCTGCATATGTGGTGGATGACTGTAAGTCCGACAAAATTCCAATATTCCATGGGAATCTATCAAAATCTATATTGTCATACTTAGCCAATGTATTACACAATATATTATGGTATATACAGGCCAGATGCTTGCAATGACACTGAGCAATAAAATCCTTGCCACTACAATCACAATGATAAAAATGATTAAATAAATTTTAAAAAATATATTATTTTGATACAAAGTGTGTGATGAATAATATTTAATTTTGTATATTAATTATTGGATATATATGTACCTGCAATAAGAAAATGCCAGAAAAATTGTAAAATAGTTCCTATAGCACTGATATTAGATTTATCTTGTTAAGCTAATCGAATGCTGCGATGATAACTAGCCATTGCCCAACCCATGCTCACAAGTGAGCTGATAATGCTACCTGCTTGATGTACAACTGAAAAAAATATAGAAGCTAATTAAGAAAATTATTAAAAATATATGCATACTCATACATAGGCATTTATATAAGATTTATATAATTGAAATATTATTGAAATAATAGCAAAATATCTGATTTTGTATCACAGACTGTAAGCTTGCACATAAATTATTATGACAATAAATTTGCAAATAATAACATTAAAATTGAATGTAAACATTGAAATTGAAAATATCTAACCCCGCACGCTGTCAATATAGCGGAGGGCAACTATCGCCGTCTGTTGTAAAACGTGCGAGATGGACATTTCCAATACATGCATCTATTCATGTGTTGTGTACGTGTGATATATGTGTGCGCATGTGTTGTATACGTGTGAATACGTGTAGCACGATACTACTATGTTTGCGTGGTCGATGATGATAATAATGATGACGGGGACGTTTCTTAAAAGAAATTTTTCATATTTCGACTTTGCAATTATATATCTCTGCTTACAAATCACGTAGAGCAGAAATAAAGACACTTTTATTATATAATTCAAACTCAATCTATCTATTAAGTCTAGTATAAACTCGATTGCTTCAGCCGTTATTGAAAATTCGAAATATTATAAAGACTCAAATGTCCGACTCGCGTTAAGATACACGGTGTCTCGGCTACGCCCTTAACTGGTCGCGAGACACTACCGTGTCTCTTGATCTCTCATTTTTTAAAGTAAATAAATATCAAAGTTACATTGCTTGAACTGGTGCGTTTGAAGTATGTTGTCTTTTTGAGGGATGCAAGACAATATAGTACAAAAGCATTGCTGTAATTCCCAAGAAAAAGGAAATGATACAAATAATAAAGATTATATTAAAGTACTAAGCCTCTTTAACTGCAGGAGGACAAGCATATTGCCATAATAAATTTGCTGCAATATTTTCAAAAAAGCAGATAACATAGAAAGATAGATGTTTTCAAAATGTTTTGCTATCTATAGCATTGAGATATATAAAAATGTGCACTATGCCAATAACGGAAGCAAATAATATGGAATAAATGCGTTCTTTAATTGTAGGCTGCATATGTGGTGGATGACTGCAAGTCCGACAAAATTCCAATATTCCATGGGAATCTATCAAAATCCATATTGTCATACTTAGCCAATGTATTACACAATATATTATGGTATATACAGGCCAGATGCTTGCAATGACACTGAGCAATAAAATCCTTGCCACTACAATCACAATGATAAAAATGATTAAATAAATTTAAAATAAATTTTTAAAAGTATATTATTTTGATACAAATTGTGTGATGAATAATATTTAATTTTGTATATTAATTATTGGATATATATGTACCTAAAATAAGAAAATGCCAGAAAAATTGAATTTGCTTATTTATTTAAAGATGCTTATCATATACAAAAATGAATGATATAATCTCTAAAAACTCACCTTTAAAAAAGGTAAAAAAAGGCGACCAGTTAAGGGCACGCCATTAACAAAAATTATCCATTGCAAACCCATGTACAATAGAATTGTATGAAAAATTATCGATTATAAACCCATGTACAATCGTAACAAAAGTAATGAAATAAAAAAAAAATTGCGCCAAGTGAAAGTAGAAACTTGTACCAGTGAAAAATTAAAGTTGCAGACATATATAGAGTCGTATAATGAATCAATAAAAATTTAAATTTGCAAATGTAGAATTGTACCATAAAAAAACTTATCTTTTAAAAAAAAAGATAAACAAGATGCCAAGTCCATGCGCCATGTGAAAAAGTGTTAAACAAAAAAGTATTTTTAAGTAAAAAAATCTATCAATTGACAAAAATTTATGTTCTAAAATTAATATCTCTACAAAAAGTAATGTCCAATTATTGCGCGAATAAATAAACATTTTTATAAAAAATTAAAATTTAAAAACTTATGCAAATTTAAAATTAATATAAAATAAAAAGAAATAAAAAAATTTTAGTTAAAAAAACTGAGCGCGCTGCAATGAGTTTAAAAGTAACAATTTAATTTTATATATATTACATCATTACATTATACATATATTATCAATTATATTGTGCCGAATATCTCGAATGGTATTCGATCGCACGAGTAGCTATTCAATGTCCGGTTTCCTTCCGAGCCATCTCATACCAGAAGTGACTTTGCTCCAGCTGTAGATAGCGCGTATGCGATCTAAAAATAGCTCCAAGAAATATTTCATTCACACGAGACACGTGCGTGAAGACATGCGAACCCGAAATCTATATACCTGCTCTACCTTTAATCAACAGACCTTCTGTCCCTTTCCTCCTCTTCTTCTATACCTGGTTATAGCCGTCATAACTTTAAGAAACCAGGTCGCGACGGGTAAACATACCGGAAAACGTTATTTCTTTAAGTTTTACTTAAGTAACTTTCCAAGTAGCAAGCGTACGTCATTTAGACGTCGATGACGTCATCAGATGTCAAAACGATGTCATTTTGACGTTTAATGACGTCAATGACGCCATTTTGACGTTTAATGACGTCAATGATGTCATTTTGACGTTTAATGACGTCAAATAATGTCATTTTGACGTTTAATGATGTCATCAAACGTCAATGAGGTTACTTTGATGTTTAATGACGTCAGTTTGCTACCTGGATTATTGTTTAGTAAAGGAGAGAAAACCAAGAAATAAAAGGGAGAAAAAGAAGATGTCTTTTACAGCGTATATCCTTTTTATTATTTTGTCATTCATTTACATACAAATATTTTCAAGATACGTCTTACGAAAACGAAGTAGTGGCCATATTCGGTGCTCGCTGTAGATTCCTTCGCTTCCCTTATTAAGGGGCTGCGCGAAGTGTTCCTCGATACAAAGTAGCTTCAGTCGCTTCCTTATACCTCATCGTTCGCTTAAAATTATTACATGTAACGTTCGCGACGTCCTTGAGCTCGTTTCGTTTCTACTTTTCGGGAAAGCGGTCCTTCCGTAGCAAAGAATAAATTATTTGCGGAGAGAAAAGAAAACGGGAAAAATAAAAAGGAAGAAATACAGGAGATCCCGAATCCTAATCTTCAAAAAGAGGGGGAAATGATAAGCAGGTTCGCATCGCGAAATTGAATTAATATGTAATCGATGGCCGCATTCAGATTTCTTGAAATAACAGATCAATGTACAATTTATGGAACGGTAAATCGCAATCGTGGATTTCGTCTGGTTCCCTCGCACTGAAGGAACTCGAAGAGGAAGAAGAAAAATCACGCAATACGTCGACGAGCTCTTTTATAAGAATCCCAACACACGCTGCGAGGAACCTATGAGAGAAATCTCGAGTTTTTTTTGGCAGTCGATGGCTGTTGACGGACGCTGTCTGATCACATTCAGCACATATCACAATTGGAGGTAAAGTTCGGCTAACAACGGCGACTTTTGATGATTCGCATGATGCATCCTCGCGCACGTATGTTTCCTTCTTTCTCGACACACACAGCTGATTTCGTCGGGTTGAAATGCGGCGATTAGGGAGGGATAAGTTCGGTATGTTAGAAATCTCAGATGAGTTCAATCATCGAGTTCCACTTTCTAGAATTCGAGCAATACTCGAATTTAGAACAGTTTTGTGCTTGAATTTTAGATCGAGTAGATCTGCAAAGTTCGAAATAGCACTCACAAGTACTTTTCGTCGTGAAAACTCGAATCTTTTACAAATGGTACTCGAACTCTAAGATTAAAAAATGCATTTATAATACCTGTTACACATCCATACACTTCTATTCATTCATAAAAGATTCAAACATACATCCAGGTTCAAATCATAGATCAATAGTTCGAAATCATAATTTGAACATATTTGCGAGACACTTAATCCCATCGCTAGCCGCAATCTGCGGTGTATCCTATTTCCTTTCCCTCTTTTGCCTTAATAGACAATAATTACAGAGATCATTCCCTTTCACCGTCATATCTGACGACATCTATTTCAATTTTCGGTCTTCATCCCTTCTATCGATGCGAAACAGCGTTAAATTGGCCGCCTTTCAGCGGAGAAAACCTAACCTAAATAAGCTAATCGAACGCGATTGGTTCCTACTTTCGGGTTCAACGAATCAGCGTCGAGTGCTGTAAGAATCTGACCAATCGCGTTGCTACCTGGCGATTTTCTCCACCCAACGCGGCCATTATTCGCTTTTGTGTGCTTAATAACTTGTGCTTATGAATTTCGCTTATTTTACACGAAGAAACTCGCTCTTTCGAAACTTGGCGTGTCTCGCGCGAATCTTTATTCGAATATCTGGGTGATCCGAGAGAATTGCATTCGTGAGAGATGCATTTGTTCGTTTACAACTAGAGGAGACAACCACACGTGTCGCGTGTGGTTTGTCGCTCTCGTCCCTATTTCCTTCCTTTATTTATTTATTACGAACGATTTCTTTCGCTTCATATCGCTTATATTGAAGGCAGGACAAAGCGATGTTTAAAAATGAAGGACACCGCGAAGAGTCGGAATTTTCTTCGCGATATCGTGACGCTTACGGCATACGCTTATTAGTAGTTAATTAATGCTTTACACACGTTAATTCCGCAGTCATTCCACGCACGTTCCTAAGAATAGCCTAAACATGAACATTTTCACTCGCAGGAGTGAAACCGGCGACAAATTGGCCAATAAACGGATGGATTTGTATAGAAACATTGAGAGAAAAATATCCGCCAATTTTTTTTCTGCGAAATTACATTGTCACTGCGCGTTAATTAATTAATTAATTAATTATATTAGGAACAGTCAGTTTTCAACAATTTTTTATACGATTTTACACTTTGAAAAATATAATAAATAGTATTTTTTTTATATAATGGAATGAAATGGATTTTATATAATGTTTCCAGGGCTTTCAAAGATAAATACACGGAATAACATCGATTAAATTGCTGATAAACATTGTCATTGTATGTTAATTAATTACATTACGAATCAATCAGCTTCTAACATTTTTCTATACGATTTTTACACATTTTGAAAAATACAATGAATAGTATTTTTTTAATATAGTGAAATAGAATGGATTTTATATAACGTTTAGGGGGTTCCAAGTGAAATCGCCGGAAAATTGTCGATAAATGGATTTGCATAAACATCGAGAGTGAGAAATATCCGCCAATTTTTGCACGAGATTACATTGTTATTGCGCGCTAATTAATTATATTAAGAATCAATTAATTTCCAATTGTTTATATAATTTTTACACTTTTCTATATAATTTTTACACTTTGACAAATACAATAAATAGCGATTTTTTTATATATATAATGTAATGAAATGGATTTTATATAACGTTTACGAGGCTCAAGGATATAAATACACGTAGAACAACGGCGAAAAAATTTTTCGTCGCTGGTTTCACTCTTAAACGCGTCGAATTTCGAAGTCGCTTATGTATGTATATTTCGATCATTAACATAGCAATCACATCGCAATACACAGTGCTTATTAATGGCCTCGGTCGCGACAGAAAAACCTTTATCACCTCGTCATTATCATATATATCCAAGCCTTCTCTCTCGGCTAGTTTTTGTCACAAAGAACTTTTTTTTCCAATCGTAACACAAACACACTCCTACAATACCCGCTTTATTAAGACTACGATATGAAAATTATAGTTTCGCCATAATTAATATATAATACTCAATATATGTACTTGTGTGTGTGTGTATGTGTATCTAAGTGTGCAAAAAATAAAAAAAAAAGAAATATGCGCAACAAATATCGCATATCGCAGCTTCGATATTTGCATAGTCGCAAATGTATCTAATTACGCGATAAAAATACGTTATATATTTTAACGAGAGAGACCGAGTGAAGGAAAAAATCTGGATGCTATCAATGCGCGATTACAAGCATTGATATCGTATAATTATACACGGTGTTTCACGAGACAATTTTATTTAATTTTAATTTAATTTTAATTTAATTTTAATTTAATTTTAATTTAATTTTAATTTAATTTTAATTTAATTAATTTTAATTTAATTTAATTTTAATTTAATTTAATTTTAATTTAATTTAATTTTAACAACAGATTCTGCGGAGAAAAAATTTGTAAAAACATTCCTCTATTATATAAAATATTGATATGTCAATAATAAATTTTTCGAGTTACGAGTGATTAAAGATGAAGAGCTCTCTTGTCGGATCAAGAGAGACAAATGCAAATATATAATACAAGTGTATAATAATATAAAATGTATAATATAATATATAAAGTATATATTTAATTTAAAAAGTATATTTAATATAAAATTTTTTATTTAAAAAATTCCTTCTTTCAATTCATATAAATATACTCTTTCTCTCTTTCTTTCTTTCCTTATTTAATTACAAAATTTACCAGAAATCACGTGAAACATCGGGTATAAAAAAAGCGTAAAAATGATAGAGAACGATAAAGGAAATTTGCAAAGCGGTTTGCATCTTATATAGAATAAAAGCCTTTTTTATATTTTTCTACATTTTTTCTCTCTCTCATATAAGTTTTCGGAAAAAAACGAAGAAAAAAGAAGAAATACGAATAAAATAAATACACTGGAAAGGAAAGGGAAGGGAAGATCCACACTGGATAAATTTATATGTACAAAGAGTGTAGAAAATATATAGATAAAAAGGATAAGAAGAAGATAGGAGCAGAGAAAAGAAGTGAATTGTCTGTATAAAAAAAAAATAATAATAATAATCGCATGCTCGTCTCGGCGAATAATATTTTTGACAGGCGATCAGCTGATTTCGAGCTGAGAGAGAAAGAGAACGCGAAATAAACGTATAATCGTTATCGTTAGCGTGTAAAATATCTTATAGCCGATGTTTAGGCAGAAAAATTACGAGAGAGGATCTCTCCGAAGAATGGACCGATAAAAAGTAAAATACATAGTATATATTTTATATATCGAAGACGTCTATAAAGCTTTACCGTCGCTCGAAACATTTTTACACCCTTTTTGCGCGAAATTATCTCGACTAGAAAAATGGTCTCGAATCGAATCGAAAGGATTATCCTTTTAAATTATGTATTAGTATAACAAAGCGCGGTAAAGCTTGTTGTTGCGTATGATAAAAATCGTGTAAAATTCAGCCTTCGAAGAAGAAGATCGCGCGAGTCGACGATGGGAATAATAATAATAATAATAATAATCATCGTCGACCGAATAAAATCACCAGGATAAATATATCCCGCGCGCGTCTTGTTTCCTTTTTTCTCTCACGAAATATTAATATTAATTATCATTCGTAACTTTTTTATGTCTCGCGATCGCGATCGAGCTGTAATTATCGCGTTCTAAATCCTCGCGTAAAAAGGATTCGCTCGTGTCGAGAGCGTAAAGTTAAAACGTAAATATAGCCTCGAAAGAGAGAGAAGATGAGACGCGAAGAGAAATAAACTGCTCGTATCGCGTGTTGTATGAATGCTTAGCAGCTTATCCGAGTGCAGGCGCGAGTGAAGAAAAAAATTAAATCTAGAGATGCTCGTTTGAGAAATAAGCTGGATAAAAGCTGAAAGTTAATTTAATGGAAAGTCGGATGAAAAATTAGAGATTAGAGATATGAGACGCCGGGTTTCAAGAAAGAAAGAAAACATGTTTTCAGTTTTATTCAACCGAAGTAAATGTATGTATATACAGGGTGTCCCATTTCAATCGATCACTCCCAAAAACTTTTTCATTTTTCAGGGGCGGAACTGACTTTTTGCCGGAGAGCACTTTTCAAGGTCATTTAAAGATTTTTTTTTTTCAAATGGAACCACTATAATTTTTTTCATTTTTGAGAGGCAGATGTTTAGGCAGCTACTAACTTTTTTCCGAAGAGCACTTTTCAAGGTCATTTAAAGGTCATTTATGTTTTTTTAAATGGAACTACTATAATTTTATTTATATAAATCGATTCTTCAAACTTTTTATAGCAAGCATTGCGATAAATCGATTTATATCAGAAAAATATAGTGGTTCCATATTTCAAAAAATATATTTAACCTTCAAATGACCTTGAGAAGCGTCCTTTTAAAAAGTCCGTAGCACCATTTTTTTCTCTTCAAATCAAACCACTTTTGTTTCGCTTGACACGTAATTTGTTGTACAATACAATAAAAAATTTTTAAAATTTTGGGAAAGTGATCAATTAAAATGGGACACCCCGTGTACGATTCGATGTATACGTAGCAGTTTGGAATATGAGGAACAAATAATAAAATGCCGCGTCGATCGCCAAAATGTGCGTCGAGTCGTCAGTTTCACAGATAATTCGATATCCCGGGAATGGATTATAACACTAGGAGATTTTTTCTTAACTATATATATTTATATATATATATACCGTTTTTTAAGCGCAATATAGCGATATCCTCGAGAGAATTTCACAATCAACGATCGTGGCATCGATCCGTCGTTGTCGTCGTCGTCGTGTTTTATTGCTATTTACAATGTTCAACGTGTCCTTAGTAGGAGATTAGCGCAAGTTACAGTCATATCGGAGAATCGTGGGATGTATCTTGGAATGTATTCTCGCTCATTGTTCATCATTCAGAGATCGACAGTGCAATGTGCTTCGCATAAATAATAAAAAAAAATAAAATAAAATAAAAAAGAAGACGAAAGAAATGCGGAGGAAAACACATGCCACGACATTGAAAGAAAGAATTCTGTATACGGGGAACGTTCTGAGATCGTCGATTCTTGCAAAGTTTGAAAAAATCGTACAAGAGAAGATGTCTTAGAAACCCTGCCTGACCATAAATGCGGTAAAAAATATATACGACGCGTAATTTGGACGTTGAAATAATTGAGTCTCTCATCGCGATCTTTTTCTTTTTCAACATTTTCTAGTCGTTAAATATCAATCTTAATTATTCCAAATTTCGTCGCTCGACTCGTTTTTTTTTTTTTATAAACTCGTCAAAATTGTGATGACTATTTACCGTAGATATTTTTTATACGTGTGTTTTTTGTGTATAGAAGATTGATACATATTTATAAATAGTACACCATTTTTTGGTCTTTGTCGATATTACTTTCTTTCATCTACAAAGCGATTTAATGGTAATAGTCTCATTGTGCGTGTATTTATTTTATATCTTCATTGTAAAACATTCCTCTCGCTTGAAACTTGTGTAAGGATTTCTCGAAAAAGCCTTTTTGTGCCTGTGTGTGTTTTTGTATCTCGAGAAACTTTTCTTTTTCTTCCCCCGTAAAAAATCTCAAACGAAACTCAACTGATTCAACGTTTCGTTACGATTGTTATTCATATATATATATATATATATAATAACGAAAGGATTACTAATCACTTAAGATACTAAATTGGATTAATTTACTTACACATAAGTGTCCGATATACAAGAATGTAACCACACTACATTCTGTTGCAAATACGTAGTAAAAACCTGTATATGTGGTAGTCTCGATAGTGTCGCCCCAATATGGAGGGATCTAGTCATTAAACTCTCTCTTTCTCTCTCTTTTGAATTTCTTTTTTCTCTGTCTTATTCCCTTCGGCTTCGACAGTTCGGCTCCGTCTCCTTTCTTTTATCTCGTCTTCTTTATCTCTTATTTAGTTCTGTTCTCACCACTGGAAAAAGCAAAATATCTCGTGTAAACAAACAAATAATATTTTATCGAATAAAATAATTTGTACAGTGTTAATTAGTTAGATAAAAATGATATAAAAATATGTAAATTTATCTTAGCTAAGATGATTTTATAAGTATATTTGGATAAAAGATAAAATTATATGGCGATTCATCTAGATAACTTCCAAATAATATTATTTTTAAGACCACTACTGTAAACATAATTATTAAAAAAATGTAAAAATATATTCATATTTTTACTCGTTAGTTTTTATCGCTTAAGTTTTACTACTTAAGTATTTTATACGCTATCCCTAGTAGCAAACTGACGTCATTAAACGTCAAAATGACGTACACTTGGGATGACTCTAAACCAAATTATCAGAATATATTATTTTAGATAATTTAGTAAAGACAACATTTTTTAAATCTAAGATGCAGATATATAGGGTGTCTCATAGAAAATTACTGAAACTAATCAGCTGTCATTTTTTAATGCATGCAGTTATTGAGAAAACAAAAATTATAATGGAAAATCTGCAGTTTTTAATAGATATAAATAAAATGTTTGTATACCAGTTTATTTTATTGATAAAAAGTAATGAAAAAAGTGCTAATAATCACATAATTTCGTACAATTTATTAACACTTTCTCTTCATTACTTTTTTTTCAATAATATAAACTGGTATACAAACATTTTATTTATATCTATTAAAAACTGTAGACTTTTCTCTTTTCAACACCATGTTTGTTTTCTCAATAACTACATGCATTAAAAAATGACAGCTGATTAGTTTCAGCAATTTTCTATGGGACACCCTGTAGATAAAATACATGTAGACGATCATCCATATAATTTTATCTAGGTAACAGCAAACACACTGAATTTGTATATACATATAATTAATCCGTACCGTCGATTATCTCTTGCTTCATTTTCTGGAACTCTTTGCGCACTTCCTTGATTATCTCCACTTTGAAGGCCTCCATCTCTTGCGCGGTAAACGAGGTCCCGTCGTTGACCCCGTTCACCTTGAGGAGGGTGTCTTCCGAAGCGGAACCGAACCTCTTGCGTACCGATTTCGGGGATTCGGCGCCGTTGGAGAACTTGTTGTTCGACGTGTTATTCTTGTCCCAGGTTGACTTTTTGTCCGGCGAACTTTCCGGCTCCTGCGAAAAAGAGTCGTTCCTAAGAATCCCTTTCTCTCCAATCCTTCGTCGTGTTTATCGCCCAAAGTTTTCCTCAAGTTTCGATCGATATCTATGTATGTATCTACGTACCGGTGGTTGTTCCGGCTGCTTCTTCTCTGCGGCGGCTCGTCGACGCGCCAGAGTCTTGGCCATCTCGTCCATCATGGAAGCCATTCCGCCGCCTCCGCCTCTTCCTAAAGTTCCGTAATTGCCGCTTCCTCCGCCGCTGCTGCTACTGCTGGTGCTCGAGCCGCTGTTTTCCACCGGTTGCGATTGTTGCTGTCGGCAAAACAAGATTTATTAGAATATTTGCGCGTTGAAATAACAATGATAAAAAATGACATTATTTATACAGGGTATCTAATTTTAATCAACCACTTTCAAAAACTTTTTTATTTTTAATTGAACAGTGTAAAGTGTTTCCAAAATTGTTTGATTCGAAGAGGACCACTTTTCAAGGTCATTTCAAGATCATTCATGTTTTTTTAAATGAAACCACTATAATTTTTTTATATAAAGCGATTTCTCGCAATATTCACTATAAAAAGTTCGAAGACTCAATTCATATAAAAAAATTATAATGGTTCCATTAAAAAAAAACCATAAATGACCTTGAACAGTGTCCCTCAAAAGAAAGCTCACCTTCTGTCCCCCTTTGAATCAAACGACTTTTGTGTGAAACACATTTGCAGGATGAAAAATAAAAGTTTCGTTTCTTCTCGATTTCCTATCTCATCAAATCACCTGTTTCTTCTTGAGGCGAGCTTGAAGAGCGGCGGCCAGGGAGTTGGTATCGGGCGGCGGGTCGCTCGAGGACGCTCCGGACGAGGCCGAGGCGGCGGAACTGTTCGCGTTCGGCACCGGGGGCGGCGGCGGCGGAGGCGGCGCGGCGATTCCGGTCAGGGGTACCATCGGAGGTGGCGGCGGACCGCCGCTACCGGGCGGGAAAGCGTTGGCGCCGACCGCGTGGTGCACGCCACCGGCCGCGTACTGGTTCACCGAGTTGACGGGCGTCCCGTACGGGTTCGCGGCGCCCGCGGGCACCGCCTGGCCGCCGGTAGCGCCGTACTGCGCCTGGTACTGCGATTGACCGGGTTGCGCGACCGCCGTCGCGTATTGGCTTACCGGTCCAGGCGGCGGCGGCACGGCCGCGTACTGATTTATCGAGCCGCTGCTTCCGTATTGATTACCGCCAGGGCCGCTGTACTGCGCGCCCTGATTGCCGGTCGATTGGTTGTACTGGGCCGCGTTAGCCTGTCCTGCCGTGTAATTGCTCGTCTGACTGTTGCCGTAGAAATTGCCCTGGCCGGACCCCTGCGGGTACTGATTCGGGCTCTGGCCGACGACGTTGCTGGTCCCGCCGGTTCCGGCGGCGCCAGGAGCGGCGCTCGCGTACTGGTTACTCGTAGGAGCGGCGCCGTACTGACCCGCGGGATTGTACTGGGACGATTGGGACGACGGTGACTGCGCGTACTGGTTCATCATCATCGGCGGCGCCGGGACCGCGGATGAGGCAAAGTTCATCATTCCTTGAGGACAGGGCGGGGCAGGGGGCGCGATTGGAGGCTGGGGCGGTGGTACAGGTGGTCCGGTGGACATTTGCGGAGGAGCCGCAGCCATTCCGACCTGCATCAAGGCCGATTGCTGCTGCTGAGGCGGCTGCGGCGCCGGAGGTGCCGACGAGGTTCGATGGTGACCGGATTGCTGTTGCTGCTGCTGTTGCTGCTGTTGCTGTTGCTGCTGCTGAGCGGTCGGCGGACAGCTTGGAGATATAGGATTGGGACTTCCGGTTGCTGTGAAGAGTATTTTCGTTCATTATTGCTTTTATTTATTTTTTTGTTTGAATATATATGTACCCAGCAAATACAGTATATAAATGTTATATACTCAAGCATGTTACATGTAACGTATATGTTAGTTGTAATTTTCCACTCGTAGATGTAACATTTTTAATATTACATATATTACATTGTAGTTATATTGTCATTATATCCCAAGATAGCACTGACTTATCAATACATCAATGTGCTATTTGGTATATAATTACAATATAACTACAATGTAATATATGTTATATTAAAATGTTACATCTATGAGTGGGAAATTACAACTAACATGGATGTTACATGTAACATATATTACCTGTTATATTCCCTGTTATATTACCTGTTATATTCCGTTTTATTATAGCAATGTAACAATTATATATCGGTGTTTGCTGGGTATATAATAAAGTAGAGAAAAGTATGATATACCTTGACTTTGCTGGGACATTCTGCGTTCCTGAATTATTGCCACGTCCTCTCTGGTCATGGTTCTGCGCAGAGGAAAATCGAAATTAGATACAAGGTAAATTTTTTCGTCCGTGACATCGTTATTGATGCAAATAAGCGTAGTAGGGCCAGCCACAACTAGACTAACATAATAGACATAATCGACGACCTATGTATGTATAATCCTAGACAGAGATTGCACTAAACTTCGCTCTGATCAAATCCCAAGTAGCAGACTGACGTCATTAAACGTTAAAATAACGTCATTTTGATGTCGATGACGTCATTAAACGTCAAAATGACGTCATAAACGTCAAAGTGACGTATGCTTGCTATCTGGGATGTTACAGAGATATTTTTCAATAGTACATATACGAAAAAAAACATCGTTAATGAAATAAATTAATTGTATACAATAAATTTAAATCGCTACGTAAATATAATATCGTGCTACGAAGAGATTCTTTTCTCTTTTATTTCGCTGTACGGATTTCGTGTCCCATTTTAATGTCCCACCCCAAATAACTTTCTTATTTTTGATTGTAGAAGAAGGTGTTTTAGATAAAAGTTGTATGGTTTCGAGGAGGACATAAGATATGATTACCGAAAATTGAATATTTTACATTTTATGTCAAAAAATTGTTAACTTCGAATCTTCCTAACTCAAAAAGTACTTAATGAAAAAATACTTCATTATAGGGTTTTGGAAAGTTTTTGAGATGAGCTACAAGAATATGCAATGAAAAATAGGTGGTTCGATTTAAGAAATTGAAGGTGACCTTCACGTGACCTTTAATCAATTATTCAAGGTCAAACTAATGGCACCATTTTACGTCTCCCTCAAAATCATACAACTTTTGTCTGAAACATTTTTATCTACAATCAAAATTTAAAAAACTTATTTGGGGTGAGACACCCTGTATATGAGTATTCTTACTCTAAATCACAGATCACAACATCGATATATAAATTTATGCGGGCCCAAGGAGCTAAAGAAAATATTAGTCCGACATGTGTATTTTCAATACACGCTTTTATAGAGAACGAATACTCTAATTCGAGCAGCAAACGCACCCGTTATCTTATCCCTATCGAACTCCGTGTATCTCAGACCGTCTGGAGGATTCTTATCCGATAATCCGGATATTCGAAGCGATATTCTTGAATTTCGTAAGAGACCGAGGAAAAAAACCGAAGAAAAAATATGTACCGAGCCGCAGCATTTTCGGATTTATTTCGAGCGACGCGGAATGCAACAGATGCAGGAGAGAAGTGAAATTCTTCTGGCCTCTCTGCGAATTTTATTTTCGACACCGCGCGAATATTCATTCATTCACGAAAGAGTGAAGAAGATGGAAGAAAACAAGAGAAAGAAGTTGGTTTATTAAAATCGCTGAATCTTAGATTATAATCTAAGATTATAGAATATTATAATTATATAGAAGATTATAATCTATAATTATAAAAAGTAAAAGAGGAAAGATGAAAGAAGAAATGTATGTATGTGTGTGTGTGTGTGTGTGTGAGGATGAGAGGGATGAGGGAGATTATTCTAATGTAGTTAAAAAATTAGCGATGGGATGAAGTATCTTACAAGTAGTTTTAAATTTGTTTATATGTCTTGAATACTATGATTATTTCGAAAAAAGTACTTTCAAGTTGCATTCAAATTTTAAATTGAATATTTGCAAGGTTTGAAATAATGTTTATAAGTATTTTCTATCGTAAAAAATTGTTTACAAGCACTCTCTAAAATAAAAAATCTATTAATAATACTTTATATTATTATTTATAATACTACATAAAATAATTATAAATACTACCTATTATAAAAATCTATAATACTATTTATAATACTTGTTACACATTTATATACTTGAACCTGGATGAAATAAGATTCGTACTCTCTATAAGTTCTTAAAAAAGAAAACCAGTATATTTTCAAGTGCATTGAAACTTGGATTAAATGTGTTGGAATTTTTATGAGTAGTTAAGAGAAATTTAATGTTAGCGCGAGTTTATAAATAGCATTATGAATTTTTATAATAGTTATTACAAATAGATTTTTTATTTTAGAAAATACTACTTGTAAAAGATTCTTTATGATAGAAACTACTTATAAGTACTATATTGAATACCTTGCAATATTCTATTTAAAATTCGAATAGAACTGTCCTAGATTCGAGTGCTTTGCAAGTACAATATATTAAAATATAATTTTTTATTATATAAAGTATTATTATTTCAAATTCTAGAAAATGAAACTTAGTTATTTTTATAATAGTATTATAATCGATTTTTTATTTTAGAAAATACTACTTGTAAAAGGTTCTTTTAGATAGAAAGTACTTATAACTATTTTGAATACCTTGCGAGTACTCAATTTAAAATTCAAATACATGTCCTAGATTCATAATCGATTTTTTATTTTAGAAATTACTACTTGTAAAAGGTTCTTTTAGATAGAAAGTACTTATAACTATTTTGAATACCTTGCGAGTACTCAATTTAAAATTCAAATACATGTCCTAGATTCAAGTACAATATTTTGCAAGCGCATAATATATTGAAATATTATTTTTTATTAAGAAGAATTATTATTTCAAATTCTAGAAAATGAAAATTGGTTGTCAGATTTTCAAGTACACAATGAACTTGATCCCATTCGTTCTAAAAATGCCCGCAGCCTCCACTACAGGAAATTCGAGGTCCTAAATAAACGCATGGCCTTTAACCCATATTAACCTGCCGTCACAGATTATTAAATTAATTATTTCTAGACACATATATATATATATACGAAACTTTCTATAGAAAAACTAGGTTTCTCAAGCGTTGTTACATCTTATGACATATTCATGCTTTCCCCCGTATCATGTTATTTAATAAAATCGTATGAAGAAAAAAAATCAATTCATTACAAATTGACTGACTAAAGTTCGGTTATTAGGGGCTAGAAAAGGCCGCGGAAGGAAGATCACCTCGTGTGTCCGTCGCCTGGCGAGCCACGCGCGCAGCCCACTTGAGTGAGGGTGCCGATGGCACCGCTGACGGTCGCGTGGTGCTCGGGGGTGGTTGTGGTGACGGAGCCTACGGGCAGGGCCGTCTGGCCTCCTGTAGGCAGATGGCCCAAGGACAGGGAGATCCGCGCGCTACGTTGCCCTTGACTGCAACCGGTCAGGACAGATGTGAACGGGGAGCACAGGGAGGGTTCGAAAAGACGAGAGAGGAGGGATATCGTTCTACATATTCGCACATTGACTCGTCACCTCCCGTCATTAAACTACTCTACTTCGCGATATTAGGGCGTGGATGAGGAACATGACCCTTCGGATATGTTATTAGGAAATGCACCGTCTCCCGCGACGATTTATTATATTTAGAGGGAAAAAGTCTCGAAGCACACCAGAAGGAGAGGATAACTTCGAAACAAGAGCGTCGGCTGTCCTTGGTTCGGGAAAACGTGGCGTGTCTCGCATCGGGATCTCGTGACAGGAAATAATCCGCCGTAACGAGGTAATAGTCGCGCCGCAGATCATTGGAGGATATCAAGGATAAGAGAGAAAAGTACCTGTATCCCATGTCCTCTTCATATTGAGCGGTCGCTTGACTTTGCTGTTGCTGCTGCTGCTGTTGCTGTTGCTGCTGATAGACGGTCTGCTGCTGAGTGGTCGTGGCGGTGGTCGGTGCGAGACTTCGTGATATGTTGCTGCCGTTGCTCAGCACCTACGCAGCGAGACGCGGCGTGTAATTAAAAGTTAATTAACGATGACGAGGTCCAATTGTGGTCAAAACGTCAAAAGACGACTCTATCGCAAACCATTGTATAGAACCAAATCTATATATAGATGATAAAATCCACGAATGGTCAATTAAACGAAATATATTAGGGTTAATTAATCCGAGTTAATTCCAACAATGGGATAATTACGAAATAGATACCCTAATAGCACATCATATCCGAAAGATATTCAGAGGATATTCAGAGAGCATTCGAACATCCTCAGGATGTTCTCTGAACGTCTTCGGGATATATGTGCTGTTAGAATATGAGAGGAAAAAAGTGAGAGGTCGTGAAAAATTACATCGAGTGCCTGGAGCATCGCCCGGGCGAAGGCGTCGGCGTCATCCTTACTGGAGAAGTTGAGCCCGTAGACCTGCTTGTTGTCCCGCCACTGGTGAAACGTCACCGTCGCCTGATTGTACTTGAGCCCCTTCAGAATCGCGCAGTTGATAACGATCTCGTGGTCCTGGAGCTTCCTGCCGACCACGCGGAACGTATTGTTCACCTGATGGTGATAGAGCTGGACCTTGGACAGGCCGGACGAGCTGCCACTCGGTATCCATTTCTTGTTTACGTCGTCGTATACCATCACCGATGCGCGGGCGGATGATATGCTCACTTCGCTGCGGAAGAAAAAACGACGAAACGTCAGTTTTTTTGCAATTCCGGTCAATTAACTTCTCTTGGTCGTTTACGATTAATTTATCGCGTTAATTTTTCGTTTCTTTACGCTTCGCGTATTTCTTCGTCATGTTTAGCGGAAGGGAATTGCTCTTCCGGTGTTAGGAAGATGTCAAGGTTGGTGACATTCAATTGGACATATTAGTCAATTAAAGGACTCAGGACTCTCTCTCTCTCTCTCTCTCTCTCTCTCTCTCTCTCTCTCTCTCTTTCTGATTGAATCTTAATCATCCTACATTGATATGAATAATTGTGTTCAAATGAATTTCTCCTATCAAGAATGTTCGATATGAATTAGCCAATTGAAGGACTCAGGACTCTTTAATTAATCAATCCTAATCATTCTAGGTCAATATGAATGATTGTGTTCAAATGAATTTCTCTCATCAAGCATGTTCGATATGAATTAATCAATTGAAGGACTCAGGACTCTCTGATTAATCAATCCTAGTCATCCTAGATCGATATAAATGGTTATGTTTAAATTAATTTCTCCCATCAAGCATGTTCGATCTCAATTAGTCAATTGAAGGACTCAGGACTCTCTGATCAATCAATCCTAAACATCCTAGGTCGATATGAATATTCATTCATTCATAATGTTCAAATAAACTGCTCCCATCAAGTGTGTTTGATACGAATTAGTCAATTGAAGGACTCAGGATTCTCTGATTGATCGATCCTAGTCATCCTAGATTGATATAAATGGCTATGTTCAAATGAATTTCTCTTATCAAGAGTGTTCGATCTCAATTAGTCAATTAAAGGACTCAGGACTCTCTGATTAATCAATCCTAAACATCCTACATGTAAGTCAATATAAATGATTGTGTTCAAATAAATTTCTCCCATCAAGCGTGTTCGATATGAATTAGTCAATTGAAATATTCAGAACTCTCTGATTGATCAATCCTAGTCATTCTAGGTCGACATAAGTGGTTGTATCTAAATAAATCTCTTCTATCAAGGTTGACCATAATAATTTTTAATTTAATTTAATTTTTGATATAAATACAGAAAATTCGGATAAGAGAACGATCCTGAAAATATATTCTAACGAAATAAAGAGTATTTAAAAATATCCTGATATAGAGACAACAGAAAGTTCACGGAGAGACCTTGCTGATGTATCGACGTAGGAGGGAGAAGGCGAAGGACGCAAAAGAGAAAATCGACGTGTACCACAAGCGATCGTCCTGCTGCCAGGAAGATCGTTGCTGGCGATAGCTCCCTGCGGAACGTTGTTGAACGTTCGCGCAGCAACGTTGCTGCGCGTTGTTCGTCAAACAACGTTGCTGTTCCTGCGTCGCAGGAGGATGACTCGTCCTGTTGCGATCCTCGGAAGTAGAGTAAGCATCGTAGGACCATCTGGTCCTGCCACTTTTGGAGAACGAGTTGGCACGAGTGTCCCACATGACCCGATCAGAAGGGGACCAGCTTCCTCCTCCCAGTTAGGTAATCATATCACGACTCGTCACCCTGATCACCGATTGTTTCGTTCTTATCGGAGCGAAGAGGATAAATCTAAGAGCCCGTAAGTGCACAAAAGGTGTTCGCGTTATTAATTGAACGTAACTCGCGGAAGAACTCGTTCGACTCGCCAGCTCGCTCGCTCGCTCGCTGTCGCTTTCACTGAACTGAAAAGCAACGACTCCCGCGCTACGCGTTCGCGCTCGTTTGGCAAAACGGGAACAGGACGAGGTAGGATGTGGCGAGATACCGCCACTTCCTCGGCCGTTTTCTGCTTCCAGCTGCTGCGTGCATAGTCGGACGATGGTGATAACGCGTCCACGCGACAACCAACGTCTGTCGTGGTAGATCCATGTGCATGGATCGAGGACGTTTGCGTTGCAACACGAGAAGGAGATAACACGGCAAGAGAGAGAGAGAGAGAGGAGACCGTAGATAAAGGGAATGACGCCGTTGATGACTTTCCTCGATATTTTACGAGACGCGATATAGGGATCGAAACCAGCGATGATGTTAACTAAGCGTTTTGCATAGTTTTGAAGTCTCTAAGATTACTTAAAAAAATTCAAATAGAACCTAGACAAGATAAGAACCTTCCTATAAGTATTTCTCAAAAAACAAGAATAGTACATTTGAACCTGGATCAGCTATGTTCAAATTTTTTATGAGTACTTATGAAAAATTTTATGTTGTATACAAAATGTCCCAAAATTACCGGACAACCCGTTAATGGTAGCTTTTTGGGATTATTTGGAAATTATTTTTCTTCAATGAAAATGTCAAGGTACCAATAATTTTCAAGTTATAAGTGATTGAAAATAAAAATTCTTCACAAAAGTAAACCTTGTGAAAATATAATATTAACAAAACCATTCTTTAGTTAATTTCAAGTAGTTTATTTTTAGAAAAATTTAATTTAAGGCTCCCTTGATATTATATATTGTATAATATTGTAAATAATATAATATTTTATGATAGTGTTTAAAAATTTATTATAATAATATGATAAATAGTTTAATTGTAAGTATTCAATTTAAAATTCGAATACAACTGTTTTAAATTCGAGTATTTTGCAAGTATGATATAAAATATTATTTGTTAGTTTTAATTATTTGAATCATAGAAAATAAAACTTAATTGTTGGATTCTACTCATTTTTTAAATACATATTGAATTTGATTCTATTCCCAAGATTTGAAAAATATTCTTGCATGTCATATAAAATTATCAAAATCAACTATTACATCTCTCTCATTATTATTATTATTATTATTATTATTATCCATGAAAGTGAAAGATTTCAACACGGTAAAATGTTTTCATACAAACAAAGTAAGATTTAGAGTTTTAACTCTTCTGTTGATAAACAGATACCCGAAAAAGTTTAATATTTTAAAAATCTGTCGGAATTTGTTCCCGAAACAAAAAAAACTTTATATTCGAAAAAAATCCTAAAATACAAATGTTTGATAGCTATAAAAAAATTATTTATGGCAGCAAAAAAATGCGCTGTATCAAAAATGCGCGGTTGGCATTTAAATATATTAATGAAGAGGTGAAAAGTTATGCGTTGACAGAAAGAAGGCTGAAATTAGCAATGCCTAATGCGCTTGTTGTCGCGTTCCTTCTTCCGGAAATCGCGCGAGCTCGTCGCGTTCGGCTCGGATGCCAGAACTTTTAGAGCATAAAGCGCGAAATATATATGTACATTCTATCAGCTGGAAGTGTAACGTCCAGGTCCACATCTCCCTCTTTCTCCGGCGTGCACATAGATCAGATCAGTTTGAGAATTGTATTAACGTCTGCGAAAGTGGAACAAACGCGTTGTTCCGGAGTGCATCGCCTTAAGGCAGATGCTCTCTTTCCCTCGCAGGTGTGTATCCTCCCCCTGAACGTACATAAAAACGGTATAAATCTCAATCTGTAACGGAGCCAAAGCTCATCGTGAATGCGAAAACCAGCCTCCTCTTCATACCTTCCCCCTTTATTTCCAGTGATGCTCACGGGAGCGTTAACCTTTCACCAAACGCCAAATGAAATAATAATGATAATCATACTCGGTGCAATCGTATCTTGACCATCCAGAATGAATTTTGCAATCGCGAGCTCTCGCGATAAAATCGCGGGGAATATTGCGTTACGATAACTCGCGCGAAACGAATTTCGACATCCAATAATATAATTTTAAAAAAGAATATTAAATCGTGACTTTTTTATTATTTTAAACTTTTTTATATTATATATTATATATTTAATATATAATTTATTTTTATTAATATATAATATATTTAATTTATTATATATTATTAAATAATTTATTAATTATATATAATATAATTAATATAATAATATAATATATAATAGATTAATTTATTAAATATATACCTATATATATATATATATATATATAATATATAATTTATATAAATTTATATAATGATATTCGGGAACAAAGAACTTCTCTTCTGAAGAGCCTCTTCGAGAGAGAAATGTCACCTTTTCACATGGTCGGAATTTAATGGCAATTTTACGTCGCGGTTTTCGTGGCATTTTTTATTATCTCGCTGCATTGCACGACGAAGAGATGACGGAGGAAGAGAGGAAGAGCAGCGAAGCGACGAGTGAAGTGACAGCGACACGCGGCATTGGATATCGAATTTATTCCCTCTATGCATACATACGCATTTATGTTTCGCTTTCATACACGGTTTAGTTTATGCGAGCCTCGTCGACAATGACGAATCCGTTTGGTGACGACTCTATTATTAATTCTCGGCGGACTTCCGCGCGCGCACTCTTATCAAAAGATGACATTCGAACAGCTGACGCGTCTTGGACGAAACTCGATTTATCGCGGAACGATCCGGACCCGGGAAAAGGGAAATTTATACGGGCTTTCACAGGGTGTCGCGTCGCTACGAATTATTTTCAGTCTCGAAATTCCGAGCGCGATATCCTTATAATATCATCGACCAAATATTTTAGTCGCTAAAAAAATTCCGATAATTTTGTTTATTAATTTTATAATATATTTTTTGTATTTATTAATAATTATTTTTCATTTTAATAATTATTAATTGATAATTATCAATTTTATTCATGTCTCCGCATTGTAAAAAATATGTAATATAATGACATAAAAAATGTATAGAATTACATAAATAATATGTAAAATTACACGATAAAATGTATACATTTTCATTTTTATCATGTAATTTTACATTTAATTATTTATATAATTTTACATATTTTTTTACAGTGCGTAATATACTTTATTTTTCGAATTAACAAATTTTATTAATCGCGAGTACTCTTTTAACACTCAGAGACACGTATGGCTTCACCTTGAGGGAACGAATATGATCCCCAAAAACAGCATATGGCAGGTTGCTGTGCAATATTAATTGGATAGGTAAGTCAAGCCTTGACACTCGAGTAGGCCTCTGAATTTTTTTTGCAACACGAGCTTTAAATCTTGGGGATCTGATCAGTCCAAAGCGCAATTTTTTCCTTTATTCCCAACATAATGTACAAATATTTTAGATATATTTTTTAATGATCAATAGATCTCTACCTTTCAGATTTATTGGTGATAAGATAGCTTTGTTACTATACCTTTTAGAATTAATAGCGATAAGATAGTCTTGTTCTACATATTTTATTAAAAACCAACTTCGATGATTTGACAGCCAATGATCCAAATATTTGCCTCGTAAAAATTTCACATTAAATAAATAAAAACTAACTTCGATCGATTTTCATTTTCAAGATAAGACAAGTCGAAGAAATCAGGATTGAATTCCGTTCAAAAAGAACGCAGAAAAGGCACGAAGGAGGTGTGTGAAAAATCTTAGGAAGCAGCGCGCATACCAAGAGAAACATATATGCTTTCATGTATATCATCATAGGAATAAAAAAAAATGCGAATGTAGAACTGCATATACAGAGTGCATCCTTCTCCCTTTCTCTTTATGCAAAACGCAGAGTTCCCTCTGCGCGGAAGAAAGTAAAAGAATCTTCCCCGACCGGAGCAAGGTGCAACACACAATGAAACGCGACAATGGGCGTTTAACAAAGGAACGTACAACCTTTGGGTTACACGCGTGTACCTACACATGCTGGGTACTGCCACGTATTAACTCGCCTATGTTGTGTCCTGTGTACGTTAAAGAACATGGAATAAGATAGGCTGGTGAAAATATTACGTTATACTTCTTATTTTTTGCAATTCCCAAGTTGATCGGGTCCCAATTTGGGTACCCAAAGCAACTTTAAATGTTAAAAAGGTATCAAACGGCATCAAACGTCAAAAAGATAAACAAAGTACAAAAGGTACCTTTATATTTGGAAACCTCCCAAGATACAATGGAAAGATATATTTGATGTCTTCTTACTTTTATCAATTCCCAATAAGTTGATCGGGTCTCAAAGTTGATTGGGTACCCAAAGCAACTTTAAATGTTAAAAAGGTATCGAAACAAAGTACAAAGGGTATCATTGTATTTGGAAATTTCCCAAAACACAATGGAAAAGTATATTTGATGTCTTCTTATTTTTAGCAATTCCCAAATTGATTGGGTCTCAATTTGGATACTAAAAGCAACTTTAAATGTTAAAAAGGTATCGAAACGAAGTACAAAGGGTACCTTTGTATTTGGAAACCTCCCAAGACACAATGGAAAGATATATTTGATGTCTTCTTACTTTTATCAATTCCTAATAAGTTGATCGGGTCTCAACTTGGGTATCCAAAGCAACTTTAAATGTTAAAAAGGTATCGAAACAAAGTACAAAGGGTATCATTGTATTTGAAAATCTCCCAAAATACAATGAAAAGATATATTTGATGTTCAGTGATTGCTATAAAGAAATTATTGCAGTGAAGAAGACAACACGCAGTTGGTATCTGGGTACCCATATGTTGATGATGAAATTGATAGAAGGGTTGGTTTATTTAGAGATAAATTTAACACGTGTAATCTTTTTTTCCCAGATCAAAGAAGAAGAAAAAACAGATACACTTATTTCTGTAATTACATAATATTATATGAATAGATAGAGCTCTTCCTTCAAATCCGAGCTGATCAAGGGTGGAGGGTGAATGTGGGTTACCCGAGCAATCTGCACCACATTGCAGCATTAAAATTAATTAAGCCCGGTTATTGAAGGCGAGAT